AACCAGAAGGCCCAGGAACTCGCCCGCAAGGCCGTCTCCCCCTTCGAAGGCAAGGGTGTCTTTGGTGTTGAGATGTTCCTCCTCGAAGACGACAGCCTCCTCCTCTGCGAAATCGCCAGTCGCATCCACAACTCCGGCCACTACACCATCGAGGGCTGCCCCTTGTCCCAATTTGATACCCACATCCGCGCCATACTCGACCTCCCCATCCCCCCGCAAAGCCTCGAAATCCGCCAACCCTCCATCATGCTCAACATTATCGGCGGCGCCGAACCAGACACCCACCTCAAGGCCGCAGAGCACGCGCTCTCCATCCCCAACGCCAGCATCCACCTGTACAGCAAGGGCGCCGCCAAACCAGGCCGCAAGATGGGCCACATCACCGTTACCGCTGCCACGATGCACGAGGCCGAGACGCACATCCAGCCGCTCATCGACGTGGTGGACAACATCCGCGCGCAGCGCACCGACGTCAAGAGCAAGGCCCAGCCATCGGGCCCCTCGAATCCTGCCCCCTCCGTTGCCGTGATCATGGGCTCGGACAGTGACCTTAAGACTCTTGTTCCGGGTCTTAAGCTCCTCCGTGACTACTTTGGTATCGAGCTTGCTGTCGATATCACCTCTGCCCACCGCACTCCGACTTACATGGCTGAGTACTCCGCGGACGCTGCCGCACGGGGTATCAAGGTCATCATCGCTGCTGCCGGTGGTGCCGCTCACCTACCCGGCATGGCAGCCGCCCACACTGCCCTCCCTGTGATCGGTGTCCCGGTCAAGGGTAGCTCCCTCGACGGAGTTGACAGCTTGTACAGCATCGTCCAGATGCCCAGAGGTGCGTTCTTCCCTATTCCCACAAAACCTAATCTCAAAGCTAATATGTAAACAGGCGTCCCCGTCGCAACCGTCGGAATCAACAACAGCATCAACGCCGCTCTCCTGGCAGCGCGCATCCTGGGCTCGTTCGACCCGACCATCCAGCGTAAGGTCGAGGCGTACGCGGAAAAGGCGCGGGCTGAGAACATGGAGCAGAAGGGTGTTAAGATGCAGGAGATTGGGTGGGAGAAGTACTTTGAGTCTATGTAAGTGGACGTGAGATTAGATAAAAGTATATCAATGTAGATATGTTTTATATTTTATGTTTATGTTTGGATGAATCAATGGATCAAGATTTATGGTACCATAATGGGTGTAAATATATTAGACTAAAGCCCTACAAAATGACGCGTGCTGTGACTTCCCCACCAGACTACTGCACAACATGTCTATGTTGGGACGAATTCTTTGCCAATGGAAGGTCTACTGCGTATATATCTACCTCAAGGGCACACTGGATATAGTTAGACGGACTGCCATTATTAAACAATACTCATACAATACAAACGAATAATCAGTACCCAAGAGATATCACTAAGACAGACAGTACTAAGAAACACAGGAGAAAATAAGAACGACTCGCGTATATGATATCTGAACAAACAAAAAACAAAAAACAAAAAAACAAAAAAAAAAAAAAAAGCAGCATAACGAGGGAAAGAGAATTAAGAAACTCATTAAGAATTAAGTGATGTAAGTTCACTTAGACCGATGTCTTGACTAAATTAAGCCGTTTGGGGGTTGAAGGCGGCGGGGGCACCAGGAACAGTAGTTCCATCAGCGACGTTCTTCGCAGCGCCGTTGGAGCCCGCGGCCACGTTTCCACCCTGAGTGTCGAATGCCTGGCTGATCTCATCCGAGAATCCACGCGACGGGTATCCATCGGGCTTGGAGACACCATCCGCGCCGTTGGCGGCGCCGTTAGCGGCACCAGCGGCACCAACAGCACCGGTTTCAGATCCACCAATGCTACCAGCACGGTGCGGCTTGCGGGTGATGGGCGCCGGCTTGGGAACGTCGGTGGACTCGGAGGCGTTGCCGAGGCTGAAGACAGGCGACTCCCAGCGCTCACCCTTCTCCGCGAGATCAGCGTACTCGGTGGCCTTGGTGGTAACGCTACCGGGCAGTTTGATCTCAGGGAACTGTGAGTCGCGCAGGGTGGCAGTGGTCTGGACCTTGGTGTCGCGCTTAGAGGCCTCTTCTTGGGCCTTCTTGCGCTTGTCAGACAGCTTTTGGCGGCAGACATCCATGTAGCGGGCGTAGATGCTGGTCTCGTCCTCGGAGTTGTTCTTCTTGGCCAGCTCCTCAGCCTTCTGGGCTTCGTTGTGCACGTCGCGGGCAAAGCTGTCGGCGGTCATGAAGGACTCGCGGATCTTTTGTTCGAGGACCTTCTCGAGGGTTGGGCGGACGATCTTGAAGAGGAGGGGCTTGAAGGTCTTGAAGAGGACCTTGTGCTTGGACTTGCGCAGCTTGATGTCCATGTTGTGGATGTCAACAGAGACCTTGTCCACCTTCACGATGTGCTCGTGATCTTCCTTGTTGGCAATGGAGGCAGCGATCTTGAAACCAAAGCCCTCACCGCCAAGGAGGATGTCCATAACACCCTTGTCCGTGATGGACGGGAAGCCCTTCTTCTTCTTGAGGTAGTAGCTGACATCAGTCAGGTCAGCCTGAATACCAGAAGCAGAGATCATGAGCTTGTTGTCGCGCTTGCTGCTGATCTGCTTGCGGCCCCAGCGGAAGTAGTTGTCGCTACCGAATTCCAGGACATTGGGCATGAGGTTGTCGCTCTCAATGACCAGGTTCTCAACGACAACGTCGACCATGGGGTCGGAGACCTCAATACGAGGGATGGGAACATAGCGCACGTGCTCAAAGATACCAGGCAAGATCACGTTACCAATGTCCTTCAGGAGATGCTTCTTGAAAGCCATCTTGCCCTCTGAGCTGCGACCAAGGTCCAAGAAGAGCTTGTTCATAGCTTCTCCAAAGGCCTTGTTCTGGGAATCCTCATTGTACTGCTCACCAAAGAACTTGACCTCGTCCAGGACGCGGGTGGTGTGGGACTTGTAGCGATCCTGCAACAGGTAGCGGCCGTGGTCGTACAGGTGGTTCCAGTCGCGGTTGCAGTCCTCCTCCATGACATAGCCCTGCTCCTGCAAGCACTTGCGGATGAAGGTGTTGACATTCTTAAACCAGCCCTTGAGTTCAGGGTCCTTCTCAGCGTCGCGGTAGATGGTTTCGAGGGAGTCGAAGAAGTCGTCCAACGACGTGCTGTTGGCGAAGCGCTCAAGCAAGACCTGGGAATGTTAGTACACGAAGACGAACAAAAAGAAGCCAAAGGGACTTACCCTGAGGTTGGTCTCGACCGTTCTCACGCTGTTGTTGCCGCGGACGTTCTTGACAGAACCACTTCCTTGCTTAGACAAGTCTTGGGAGTGACGAGCATACTTCTCCGCCAGATCCAGCAAAGTCTCAATAGCTCTTTGGTCTAACGTAGTTGTTAGTGACAAGCTTCATCGATACTCAAAACGAATTTGACTTACAGTCAGCATGACCCTGGACTTCCATGACCATCTTTTTCAGACGCCAGATAGCCTGCTCGCGACGCTCCTTGGGCACCTTCTCGGACAGGTATTCCTTGCTCTTGCCAGCGTACTCACGAGCGCGTTCCTTGGTCGATCGTCGTGTAGACTTGGAAACCTCCGAAGTGCCGTCGGCATTGGCCGAGGGACCAGACAACGCGCTTTCGCGGTCCTTTGCGTGCGTCAGTGTGTCATCTTTACTTTGGATGCGTGAAGAAAAGCTTACGCCCTTGTTCCTCTTGAACTTGGCCTTGAGCTGCTCCTTGTCAAGCTTCTCGTGCCAGGTGTTCTCCTCAGCAGCCTGGTCGACCTGCGAGAGCTGCTCCTCAGAAGGACGAAGCTTGTTGGCAGCGCTCTGCGAGGCATCGCTAGCCATGTCCCGGATGATGACCAAGGCATCGCTCACTGTCCTGGTTACCAAGAGCCCCGACTCAACAATGAGGGAGGAACTTACGAATCTTTCTAAACTCTCCGTTGGTAATGAGAAGCGTACCCAAGGTCTTCAGACCCTGGATAGCGTTGTCACCGTCCTGCTTGGCACCGTCCTTGTCAACAGGCGCATTAGGCCCCTTCGCCTCAACATCGCCCAGACGCTGAGCCTCCCAGATGAACTCCTGGAGCAGGTGACCATCGTTCTTGCTGAGGATCAACTTGCGAGCCTCGTCAATGACCTCACGGAGGTCCCCAACCAGCTTCTGACCTTCTTCCGAGAGGTCCTTGGAGGGGGAAGAGAGGGTCTTAGACTGGAGGGCGCTGTTCAGAGCGATGTCGCATTGCTTGTTTGAAGGCATCTTGCCATGCTTGAAGCCTGTGTGTTGAAAATCCCGGTCAGCTGTTGCGCTAGGGATGCGACGAAAAAGGTCAGGATATGCAACTTACCATGGTAGATTCCGTACAGTTGGAGCTTCTGGTTGATGCTCTGCAGGAATTAGAGGGTTAGCAAGGGCCAAGCGAGATCAGACCTCCCGGGGATGCTTCGTACCTGCTCCTTCTGCTTGCTGTCAACGGGCTTGTTAACCATCTTAGACGGCATGATGTAAAAGGCCGTTTAGAGTGGTCTGAACGGAGGGATTATGTACGGAGTATGTAAAGGGATAAGTATATTCCGGATTTAACACAATGGTCACCGGAACAACAGAATTAGAAACAAATGAGATGAAAAGAAAGGGGATTGGTTGGGATTAGTTGAGTTGTTGTGATGGTCGATCGCGTCGCTGGGGGTATCACTGGGAAATGAAGGACGCAAACGGAAGAAGCAGTCCCTAGAGGGGAAGAAGGCAAGTCGAGGGATAAAAAAAAGAAGGAAATAAGGCAGCTCGATATTATGAAATATGTATGTAGTAACAGGGACACGGGGGGGCAAATGATAATAATAACAGGGGGTTAAACCCGAAAGAGAGGGAAGAGTAGTGGTAAGTGGTAAGTGGTATTCCAATCAGAGAAAAAGGGAAAAGAGAAAAAGAAATAAGAAAAAATCGAGAAGAAAAAGCGGATTGCCAGTTTAAATACGATCCAGACTAGATGATCACCATTTGTGTGAGAATCTTCTACATTGGAGCGCTGTACACATAGTACAGGCAAGTCTCCATACAAGTTTAGTTTCCCTTGTTTACGGGAACGGATGGCGTGACGTCAGTGCTATCATCGGCGCATCAGAGCGTCTCCGTTCGGAAATGCAGAGAGAGAGAGTAGGTGTGTGTAGTGTGTGTGAAAGAGCCACTGACTATGCAAATCCCCGGTTCCTGAGATGGATCCCAATTCCTTCACTTAAACTTCAGGCGAACAATTATTGTGTGTCTTGTTCCTACTATGTATTCTTTTTCCTTCTTCTTTCCCGTTCTGTTTGTTGTACATCGCACAGAAATCTTATGAGCTCATGTCGCGCTCACTTTCAACTAACCGTCGTACATGAACCAGCATCGAGAAACGGCCGGATCTCTTGCCCCCCCTCCTTTTCTCTCATAGTATGTACTATGTATACTCTGTATTCCGTACTCCTATGCATCGCCTTGTTTTCTTCTTCGGGGCAGAATCCGCACAAGAGCAGTGATCATCCCTCCTGGGAAATCCTAATCAGACCATGTCTGTGGCAAAAAAGGAAAAAAAAAAAAAAAAAAAAAATCACACGCATAGCAATTTGGGTTGTCTAGCGTGGGCTTGGATGGAGGAGATGCTTCCCCCTGTTAGCCCCATGCAGTATTATTTTAAATCATCCTAAGCAAGCTTCTTCGCTTCCTCATGAGCCACGGTCTCCACTGTTTCCACACATGGTCCCAACTCAACTTCTCAATAGAGACCCGGAGAGGGGGGAAATACTCTGTAGACTGCATTCAAAGTTGTTCGGAAATGTCTGCTCCCCTAGAACGGGACCCATCCATACTCCCTAAGGAATGTGCTAGTGGGAGGTGTGTTCCTTTCGCAATTCCCGATTGCGGAACAATCGCGATCGGTTGTTGGCTGATCTGGTCTGGTCTGGGCCACCGAGTCATACAATAGTTGGTTGGTGGTGATGGTGGTGGTGGTGGTGGCTCGTGGTTCAACGACCTCGCTAGTTTGGCTGTTTCCCTCTGTTTTCGCATTCTTTTTTTTTTTTTTCTTTTTTTTTTTTTTGCCCGTCGCTGTCGCCTTCTTCGTTTTCCCTCCCGGGGATTTTGTATGTATGAAATCCAGAACCGGTCGCAATCATTTCCCGTGCATGCCCCCGGGATGCTGGAATCGTCATCGCATCGACCAGCTGTGTTGTTGTTTGGGCCAGCACCATGCGATTGCTGGTCCCAACCAGTCACAACCCATGCGATACTCTGGTCGCTTGACGTCAGATAATTGAACCTTGTCCCGTACACGTGAAAAATTGCCGTGCCAGGTTGCTCGTCATAAGCCGTATTAGTCATGGTTAATCCTTTGGCCTTTGGATTTCGAGCAGGTGCTGTAAAAGTACGGTGATAGACAAAAATCACAAATAAGAATCGTTGCAATGCCACCTGGTCCAACCACTTTGCCTTCTTCTACTCCGCGTACACTCTCTATGTCATCGCACATATGTCTGTGTTGTCACCTTGTCAAACTGGCACTCGCATGTTCCACCCCAATTCGACATAGAAAGCAAGGATGGTCCTCTGTGCAGGTTTTGTTGCTGTCAATTTCAGTTAAAATGGTGATGCCTGGCCCATTAGGTCGAGACCCGCGTGGCAAACTGGAAGATCATAAGGCAATGAAATGGATTCCTTTTCTCCTTGTCCGAAAAAAAAGGGGTCCTTCACTACCGTACAAATTGGCCCGGTTTGCAGTAACATTGTGGTATCATTGAGTAAGAATACAAAGATCAATCCCATTTGGAAAGGCCAAACCCCCAAATACGCATCTCGTTATATGCGTTGCACAAAAAAAAAAAAGAAAGAAAAAAGAATGCGCTGAAGACGCAACGCAGACTATCATATGCACCAAGGTTCCGTATAGGAACTCCTGAATCAGAGAGGGCCGTAATTAAATCCGGAATACTGAAGACTGTCGACGGACGGCGTCACTGTCGTGGGTGTTCCAGCCATAAATGCCCCCGATCCTGGAGGGAGATAGACTACAGAGGGCTGCGTCAACCACTTTCGAACAGGTGCTGCAGCCTGTTCATATTGTTGCAAGAAAGCATACATCGCCCATTTCCTCACGCTGTATCGAAGAAGATTCTGCGTGTATGTCAAGCATCGAATCGCACGTGCAGGGCAGTTGGTCCGTCCTTCATTGCCAAGGAACGGCGGGTCGGCGCTCTCCGGCGGAGGTGCAGGCGTAGAGGGTCTCAAAACAACGTCGTAATCCTGACTCAAAAGGTCGAGGAATCGTCGGCCAACTTGATATGCACGCTGGATGTCAAGAAAGGTCATGCATGGCAGTATGTTGGGATTCTCCAGGGCTTGGTGGAGCTGGCTAATGTAATCCATACAGCGATCGAACAACATGACCTTGTTGAAGTCGCATAATGTGGGACATCGATGCGATGGGGAAAGGATGATGATGGTCGTATACAACGCCTCGAGTCTATACAAAACAGGAAAATGATGGGGGACGTTTGTAGGTGCACGGTCAAACCATTCTTGGGCTTGTGAACAGCGAGCCCATATCAATGGCAAAGGTTGCTGGGATGATTCACGTCCGCTAAAGTACATTTCTTGATACGCAGTCGACATAATCTGACGGATCCTGACGAGGTATAATCCAGGCTCTGAGCTGCGTTGAAAAAGGTGGCTCTGTTCGGTCAACGATGAGCCTAATGAGGTCGTGGCAGTCGGTAGAGAAACGTTGATAGAGGCGTCTGAGAACGAAAAGGTTCTTCCCAAGGCTGAGCTAACCCCTCTTTAATTGATCCTCAAAAAGAAGAAGTCAGAAAATCTTGTCCTATTGAAAGCATGCAAACTTTTAGGGACAGAAAAGGTAGGACATACCTATCCAAGCAGTAAGTACAGTGAAAGACTCTTCGACAGAGATCCAGCCGATCTCGATTCGATACCACTTCTTCTGGAGGATCCTGATGCAATCCCAAATCGACGATGAGTCTCACTGCCATACCAACCAGGTACCAACTGCGAAAACGCATCGGATTAGCGAGCGAATACTGAGCCAACAGCAGAATCGCTTGTATTCCGACAATGGAGCCTGGTTGGAGAACATCCTCGATATATTCGAGTGCTCCAACCACTAGAGCTAATGACCGTTGCTGGCTCTTGTCATCACTCTGATACGACATGGTGGTAGAAGCGATCGCTAATACCATGCGCACAAGGAAATGATCGAAAGGCTTGGCAAAACGCCCACCAGGCTCATAGACGGACTCCATGGAAGTCCAGAAACTCCGTTCAACGAAAAAAGGCAGCTGAGTATAAATGTTGTCAAAGTAGAACTGTAAAAGAGGCGTGGCCTCGTGACGCGGAAGCAGTGGCTGCGATGATATGTTTGGAAGTGACTCGACCACGGCAACTGATAGCAGAAGGTTGGCAAACGACATTGTTGAAGTGATACCACGAAAATCTCGTGAAGTGGCATTAACAGACCTGGGAGCATGTTAGCGGGGGGAATCCAACCGAAGATGTTGCGGAGAGCATAGAAGGTAGGACAGACAGATAACCAAAGTCACCCACAAGGTCATCAATATCAGACACCTCTCGACGATGCGCCTCAGCCACGGGACCTTTTGACGAGATAGCTGTGATCGAGCTCTCTTGCGGAACTCCGGCCTCGTTGATGGATGCATGCTCCTTACGACGATGAAGAGTTGCAATTTCTTTCTCGAGTTTCTCACAGTATCCTTCCAGGGAGGCGACGTAGCTCCTCTCTTTACCTTTGGCAAATTCGTCACTGGCGCCAGAGCAACTGCTTGCCTTTCCAGCTTTTTCGCAAGCTGAGCAAGCTGGTAGTTTGCCGTCGCATTTGATTTTAGCAGTGCGGCATCTTGAACATGCAGCCACCGGCCGGCTAACTTTCAGAATTGGGTGGTCTAAAAACGAAGAGGACATGTTTGGGTCTTTCTCTTCCGTTTACATGATCTGTTTGCCTAGTTAGCAAACTGACGGAGGTTGTAAGAGCATTATTGAATGCCAAAATACTCACCTAAAGGACAGATGATATGCTTCGACTGGCAGCACGATCCCGGATAGATGGCCCGTCACGAGTTAGATTCGGGTATCAACATGAAGATGCATCCGTAACCGTTTGATCCTTGTAATCCCTCTTCAAGTATTTCTAGGTCGATTTCCGCAGACAAATAGCAGGAAAGCAGAAAGACTGCACCTGCAGAGCTGCCGTAGTAAGCAAGCAAACCGCGCTTCACGGTGTGCGCAAAAGCACAAATAAGCCTCGGAAAAGCAAACTAATTCACAAAAACGCGGAGGGTCAGAAAAGAGTCTGTCAATAAACAGGCGTCATCCCAGATCGCAACGACGTCGATGATTTCCGAGGTCTCCGAGCGATATCCAAGTATATCACGGATCGAGTGACATGCAGGAGAAAGCACCACTTAGTCACGGTTTCGGGATCTCGCAGGAAGACTCCTCGAATGACTACTCTGTAGAGTTACGGTTTCAGGTACTATGAGTTGTCGTTTTTGCAGATGGAGACGAGCGAAAAAGAATATGAGAGAGGAAGAACTGGGGCAGAAGCCAAAAGAGGTTGTCGTCTTTAGCTCCGACCGCCACTAATAACACCCCGCGGTATGAAAATGTTGCAATGAAGAAAAAGGAAAGAAGGGATTGGACCGGGGAAATGAAAAGGACAGGGAATAATAAAAAAGACTATGAAAAGAGACAAAGAAAAGGAACAACTTCCTTTAGAGTGAAAGATTATCGATCCTCAATGAATCCCGGTCACGGGGTTCAGCCAGCCATGGCCTTGCCTTATTTGGTCTCTACTGATTGATACCACTGACACTGCTACCACCATCGCAGTACAGAGTAACATAGCAGCCAACGCCAAGTAGAGACAATAGATACCACGTCAAGACTGGACGCGTATCTGGCATGATTATTCTACCTTCCCCCCAAGTCCTGATCATAATCAATAATAATATCAGCGCGCTTGGATCGGCCTCGATAGTGTCATCATCCAGTGATCGCAAATGGTGGCGTATTCGGCCGTTTCAGCGAGACCCTGTCAGGTGTGTATAGTACAGAGAGTAAGCTTGGAGTTTTCATTGGATTCTACTATGTATAGCAATTGAATTCTGTTTGCTTCAGTAATAATAAGTATGCTTGGTCAGACTTGGTTCTTATATAAAGAACTGCGCCAGTGGTCGTTCTGAGATCCCGTCGATCCCCGTTTAGGACAAAAGAGCCTCGGTCCTGTTCCCCTTTCGCCCCTCTCTCTTCCCTTTCACTTTGTCATTTTTCCCATTCTCGTTCGTTTCTTTCGTACTGTGATGCTCCAGGGTTTTGATCGTCAGGGCGGCATATGACTCCGCCAGCAGGATTCAAAGTCCCAGGGAATATTGTCAATCAAAAAGGTAACTATTTGTACCGTCAAGAGAGTTTCCCCGTCGCATGCTTGGCCTCCTCCCGCGACAAGCTAACCATGCTCTCTCTCCAATTCGAACAGTGTTATGCATGTATTTTAAAATACATATTTACCCATCAGACTACATGCGACAGTCTGCTAACTCGGAAACAAAGACCATGTCGACTTTGCCGTTGCCTCAAATGTTCTGCCGGTCTTCCAGTCACATGTACCTCGAACGTTGAACCCGTCTCGACCACTACCGTACACACACACACGCACGCACGCACACACGTACTCCCCTGAGAGCGAAAGAAATAGAGCGGATCCTTGTCATGGCATAACCGTCTAACGGAATAATCTTGCGTTCAGGGTGTCACGACCAGATTATTCGCGGTCCATTGACTTCGGAAAAATCTCTCTCGATACCCCATCATGGCGATGCCTCAAGTCTCGCCCGATGCGCGATCCCGTATGAGAAATTCTTTGAATAAGACATCCTCTAAAGCACCGCAGCAATCGTTCGATGTGCCTGACAATAGGATCGCGCATACATTGACCGCTTGCGCAAGGTGTCGACAGGTATGATATCATACTTTTTTTTTTCCTCTCTCTTTCTTTTTCTGTAGGGAGACTAATTCAAAAACAGCGGAAATCTAGATGCGATGTAGGAATCCCCAAATGTGCCTCATGCGAACGCAGTAACGCCAAATGTGTCTATTACGATTCCTCCAAAAATGCCACCATACCACGAACCTATATCATCTCGCTGCGCGAAAGGGCTCGGGCGTTGGAAAGTGAAGTCGAAAAACTCAAAAATGAGATTCAACATGCTGCAGATGCGGAATTGATGGTTCGAGGCGCTGGTCGCATTCGATTCAAGGAAAACGATGAACCTCGGTATCTAGGTCCCTCCAGCGGCATTGCCATCACTCGTCTGGTCATGGAAATGGCCAAACAACATACCGACTCGAAGAGTATTAAAGATGTCGTCCCCGAATTGACTGCCCAGGAAATCAAATCTACTTTCTCGGAAGAGAGTCTCAAACCTACGTCCAAAATTTACCCCATGATCAGCTCCATTCCCCAGCCCAATTTACCCCCGCGCAATCTGACTTATCGACTCATGGACCTATTTGCTGTCAAGGGTATGTTTTCAACTCTGTCTTACGTCTACCTGGCGTCTGGCTGACCTATTCTCTACAGCGCAAGCAATGCTTCCAACGTTGCACTACCCCACGTTTCGTCGAGAAGTTGAGGAGGTTTTCGATGGCTCCGATGACTCTCGCCAGAACTTTCAACTTAGGATAGTGATTGCCATCAGCATGCAAAAACTGAGCACGGACTATGCCGGTTTGGCGGATAGCTACTACCTCGCTGCACTGCCATACCTGGAGCCGTCCCTGAAAAGAATGGACCTGGGAGCGCTACAATGCCTTGCCCTCATCGCCCAATATTCGATGCTGACACCTACGAGGACTGCAGCTTACTGGGTCGTCGGAATGGCAATCAAATTGTGTCAAGATTTAGGACTGACTGAAGAGTCCACCGTTTCAGAGTCACCGACCGGTGAGTCATTAAATTGCTTAGAAGTGGATATGCGGAGGAGATTATTCTGGATTGTCATGTCAATGGAATTTGGCCTTTCACATAGTCTTGGCCGTCCAAGCTGTCTTGCGGTCAGTCACGATCATGTCAACGTCAAGTTTTTTGAGCAGGTGGATGATCAGTACATCACACCGGATGGCATTCTTCCCGGGGCAAAACCGATATTTACCAAGTGTATTGCAATACATTTTTTGAAAATGCGACTTTTGCAAGCGGAGATCAGACGGACGCTCTACCTGAACAGACGCGACACCCCGGTCCATGATCACGATCCATGGTTCACGCAAATGGAGGAAAAGATGGAGCACTGGGTGGTCACTTGTCCTAAAAACGATGGCGGTAGTGGGTTGGGTGAAACTTGGTAAGTGCGGACTTCCACTGCCATAATTAGCATCGCTCTAACATTTTCCCAAGGTTCCGCGGCCGACTAAATACAATGATCGTGTTCCTCTATCGACCATCGCCTCAGGTCCCCGAGCCCTCTTCCATCGCTGCCGAAAAAGCCTACAAGGCTTCAATATTCAACGTTGGCATGCAACGACAGCAAATCGCGACTGGCTCAGTGGACTTGACTTGGATCTTCACTCAGTCGTTGTTTATGGCCTTGAACACCATCCTTTGGTCGCTCTCATACCCTGATATTCGCAAGGACCATCCGATTGAAGAGGTCCAAGGCCATCTCGACGTAGCGCTGGAAGCCATAGTGCTTGCGGCCAAAAGATGGCCTGGGGTTGAATCAGCTCTGCTCCTCTACAGAAGTCTGGTGGCCGCATGTCTCAAGGCATACAATACTGAAGAGTCGTTCGTCGTTCGCTCTCCATCCAACCCATCCAACCATGCCACGCCCGGATCGTGTCAAGACGTGATGAGTCCTGATATGTCTAGCCCTTCAAGCATAACTACATCATTGAAATCGCACAATGCCCGGTTCGGGAAACCTTCTATTACGGACGGGTCATCCACGGGCACGGTATCACGGGCACACTCAGCAGATCCTACTTTACCTTATTCGCATTCATCAATCTCATCTACACCTCCCATTGGGGTAGCGAAGCCAACATCATATCAGATATGGACTCCACCGATGCAGCAACAGCAGCAGCAGCAACAACAACAACAACAAATACCTATCTCAAACGACAGCCCCGCAACACAGTTCACATCACCACCGTATGCTGCACCGGCGGCCGCCTGCGGAGGTTTGCAAATCGATCCAACCACTCCATTTAACATCTTCCCGACTGTGGTTTCAGGCCTGCAGGGCTGGGACCCTGAATTCAACCTTGCCTCCACAACAGCCGGTCATCTGGCCTATGTCGAAGCAGCTGTTGACCCAATGAATTGGACAAGCACCATTGCGGATCAATACTCGCAGTATCTCAACGCACCTCTCCCGGTTCCTTCGTGGCGTGAACGGACACTTAGCTACCAGGAGCAGGTGGAGCTGATGGCGTCCTTGGAAGACAACATACCCGATGTGTCTGCGCAACTTATGGGTGATGCATCGAACACTTTCTATCAATCATGATATACTGATGACGACGAGACATGACTTAGGGCCTGCCTCATGAGGGATGGTTATTAGCTTGGGTGTTGCAAAATTTTTTTTTTTTTTTTTTTCTCGTTTTCTTCTGTCTTATACATCTTTCCATGCACAGGTCTGGTTACCTGTGTCTGATAATCATTCTTATTCTTGATAATAGACAATCATTGAGGGCATCCTCGGGTTTTGTATTTGACCATCTTCCGTTACAGTGGAAAGTCCTTTGAAACTAGTAATAGTAAGTACATTGCGGCGAGTAGGGCATATATGTGTACGACCCTGAGATCTTTCATTAAAACAATGGTGTTTCATACAGGCGCATGCATTTGACATGCATTTCCGGCAAATCGTACCCCTGTACGGAGGTGACAATGATGTTCCATCTTGTATTATTTCGAGTTGATAGATCCATTTGGTAGGGTTGCATTACATACAATAACACTGACTCCAGAAATCGACACTTGACGTCCAAACGAGCATACTGTTTATTCGAGATATTTGCAAAGATATTTCTTTTTTTATCCTCAATTCTTTCAGCAATCATTCTATGGTCCATGGTTATCGCAACTCTTTGTAGTTGTTACCATACCATTGGTATCATACCATTACCGTATATAATACACCATACCGTACTGTTTCGTACTGAAATTCTGTATCAAAAATGAAAAGAGCGGTCACGTGTCGCCCAGGCTTTTTGCCGTCATCCAACATCCTCAGAACCGCCTCCCAGTTGAGTAACGAAAGGGCCGCGCCTCTTCACTTCCTCACCACCACCACTGTCATCAGCACCATTCCACCACCAACGATTCTTCGGTTTTTCGACACTTTGGTGTGGCTCCCGGTGTCGAAACTCATTGGAATGTGTGACTTCTAGACGGTCGTGCAACGTCCTGCTCGCCCACTGGAGCGATTCTCGACCGGGCATCTTTTCCCTTTCTCTCTCCTCGCCCCCTCGACTTTCCTCTTCCGCCTTCTCCGCCCTGATCGGTTTTTGGTGTCGACGATTTCCAGTCTGGATTGCTGTTTGCCGGATCGCCTGGGTTTGGTTCGTTGTCGCCAGCCGTTCCTCTCATTTCCCTATCCGTCCCCCCAGACCCGACTCCCATGTCTGATCGCGCTTCGTCTGCGACATTTCGAGTTGGATTTCCTTCACCTTCATCTCCTTCCGTCGGTTATTTGAAAGAGAACGATCAACCGTACATTTCGTCGGATCACTTTCCCCAGACCCCGACATCGCCTCCGTTGATGTCGGTCAGCGCTCAGAGCCATGCCACTCACTTCGCACCCTCGCAAACGTCACCTAGGCAGGCAACATCTCAGTCCGCAGACTACTCCTCATTGCCTTCTTCGGATCCGATGTCTTCCCAGGTATCGCAACAGCCGACCTTGAGCAGTACGACGACTTCCTTTCCGACTCCGGCTAGTAGTGTGAGTGGTCATTTGGTGGACGCGGACAAGTCGACTGGTACTGGGATGCAGGAATCTGGGTCGACCGCTATGGCAAATGCGGATGCGGCCCTTACACAAACGCCCCCACAGCACACACGGACAGACCATGACCGGGATATGGGCGGGACCGATCCCGGGAGTGGAGTCCGCAATTCTGCGAATACGGACGCAATGGAGATTGACAACAATGACAACAGCGGTAGCAGCAACAACGGGGGTGCGGCCTCGTTGGAGAATAATGGGTTCAGTTTAAATTCCCTTCAAAGGGAATTTACCTCGGCCTACCATCTCTGCAAAAGCTGTAAGAGTTTTTTCCCCAATTTCAATCCTCGCTGCAGTTCACCCTGCACCTGTTTGATTTCTTTTAGGGATTGAAATTGTTAACACTGCTCTATTTTGAACTTTACAGCCCATGTTGTGACTGGTCCAGACCCGTCGTTAGACCTTGTCTCGCTGTACGGGCTCGGTCCGGCTGCGAGATCAGTAGCACGGATAGACCCGGTCACGGGAGATAAGATTAACCGACTACGGAAATCGTACGAAGGCAAGTTGAAAGGGCTTGGGTTGGCGGGCAGAAACAAGCCTGTCAAGAACGAGCCAAGCATGCCTGGTAGTCTGAGACACCTCACCATGTGGCCTGAAGAGGAATGGCAGAACCAGAAGGTCTTCGGGAAGCAAATTAAGGTTGCAGACATGGATTCGGCATTACAACAGCTGCAGATGAAAGCCGTGAAGTTGGAACCAGGCACCGTGCCCAACAACGATTACTGGGAGGACGTGTTGGGTCATGAGAAGCCGTCAAAACATACAGGTGCAGGTGACTCTGGGAAAAAGACAGCCGCGCCTTCTGGGGGTGTTCGAGCGCCCAGTCAGCCAAACGGCTCACCCGCTTCCGCAGAGCTGGAGCGAAGTCGACCCAGTCGCGGACACAAGAGACGTTACGATGACAACAGCTTTATTGGTTACGGCGAAGGTTACGCAGATGACGACGACGAAGGCGCATTTTACTCAAACAGCGAAGGAATCGGGAAGAAAAAGCGCAAGAAGGTATGACGGGACTTTTTCTTGTCTCCGTATATCTTCTCTTCTTTTTATTATTCGTCCGGCAAAGATTGCTGATGCTCTTGGTCGTTTGTTTCGGCTTCGTTTTCGAAAAGGATCACGTTCCGAAAGTGTCTACGCCCCTTTCCGAGCGACGAGGGAATGGCATGTTTGGAATTGGCGCCAGATAATCAAGAAGTTCAGCAATATCGGTGGATTTACAAAAAAGGTTCATTTCCATTTTCGTTTATTATACCTTCGTGCACAGATTTGAGGTTTTCTACAGGGGACTGGACTTGGAATTTGCTAGGGCTTTGCTGCAGCGGACTTTACGTGTAGCAATACTTGAAACACGGATCCAATGCATTCAGTTCTAAGCCCCTGTCGATCTATTTCTGATTTCTCAGTACATTTTTGCATCATGGTGCTGGATATACCCGGCTTTCATTACTTTTTGATTGGAACGGCGTTTGGATGGAACTAATCGGACCTGACTTTGTTATTCTGTCTGCCACCAAGTTGGCACTGCTTTGGATTTGCAATCTTGTTGGAAAGCTTCAAGCCTCAGAGATTTAATGTTTCTTCCATGTGTTTTTATAACCGTTATCATTGTCGTTTAGTTAAGGCCGATGGTCTGCATGAACTATGCTAGAGAAATGGACTGTCTTGTACTTTACCTACGATATCTTAGTAGCTGGATCCGCAGGTCAAATCTCGTGGGGCCATGGCGGGGTCTGCTGAACCAATCCAGTATTTCGCATTTCATCTTGTTAATTCACCTCCTTCACTTCACCAAACTACACACATACAAACCATCAGCAACTCAAAAGACAGCACCTCCAAAATGACAACCCCCTACGAAAAAGCCCTCTACCAAATCGACCAAGCCCACTCCGAAGACCCCCACCGAATCCCCTACCCAAACGCCTCCCAACTCACATCACAACAAGATGAAATCCAAGAAAACGAAACAATCCCTTACGAGCTCCACTACGCCACCAAAATGACCCAGTACCTCGATAAACGCCAGCCGCACGCATCCGATCTCCTCCGTCTCGCTATCCGCGCTCAACACTTTCGTCGCTGGGAGGTTCCGAGGAATAGTTACCCGATGACTAAAATTGGTTATCATTCGTGGAGGAATTATCTTGCGAAAAGGCAGGCTGAGCTTGTGGTTGACATCTGTGTGAAGAGTGGGTATACAGAGGAAGAGGCGGAGAGGGTCGGGGCTCTGGTTAGGAAGGAGGGATTGAAGCGGAATCCTGGAGAGGAGGATGAAACACAGGTCCTGGAAGATGTCGCTTGCTTGGTGTTCCTGGATGATCAGTTTGACGATTTTGAGAAGGGAATCAAAGATGAAGAGAAGGTGGTTACTATTCTGAGGAAGACGTGGGTGAAGATGTCCAGCAAGGGACAGGCGATGGCAGTTGAGTTGAGTGGGGAGATGTCGGAGAGGGCGAGGGGATTGGTGCAGAAGGCTTTGAGTGGTTAATACTTTTGGTTGGATTTGGTTCTATTGTACATTGAAAAAAGAAAAAGCCCGCCGTGCTATATGGTATATCATACATCCAACACCAAAAACAAGAAAAAACAAGAAAAGCCGAAAAAAAAAAAAAAAAAAGAACCGAAAGAGAGTGGGAGGAAGGGGGAGCGATGGTTAGGCAGTGTCAATCAACCTGACCAGAGCAATAGCAGCACCGGCAGCAACACCGCCGACAAAACACATCTCAATTCCTCCCCGGATACCGGCGACGATGTTCTCACGTCCGCTCCACCCACGCACGATGCACGTCTTGATATATCCAAACGCCAACAATGTCACTGCCATCACGCCAATACTATAATATAGCGCGACGAGAACTTGGTTGACAATGAAATACGGAATCAAAGGGATGAATCCGCCGACGAAATAACCGATTGCCAAAGTAATGGCCGAGATCCACGCTTGGTTGCAATCCGGTTGCGATTCTTTGTGGTGGAAAGTGATGAGGAATTCAAGGAGGCGGTCATGGGAAGCATGCAGGGAGGCGTTGATCTGACTGACAACGTCGGAGGGAATACCATGCGAGGAGAAGATGTTGTGCACAATGGCACCGGTTTCGTTGGGTGATGTTGCAATCAAATCTTTTGTTTCGCGCACAGTGGTTTCATACGACTCTCTGCTTCAATTAGCACCTGCATCCCAACACATGCATGGGAAGGAAAGACATACGCTTCACTCTTCGCGCCAACATAACCACCCAATCCCATCGAAAGCGCACCCGCCGTCAATTCCGCCAACCCCCCCAGAACAACAACCTTGGTGTTCCCCAGTGCAGACAAACCTGCGCTCAGCGCAAACGGAACCGTCAATCCATCTGATAGACCCAAGATCGCGTCCGAGACGATGCGCGGGTTGATGCGCGCGCGTGTGCTGCCACTGGAAGTGCTGTCGGCGTCGTTATCGTCGTTTTCGTCGTTTTCGAGATCAGATGGATTGCGGAATGTGCTGTAGGAGCGTTGCGATTCGAGGTCTGAGTCGGAGGCGTGGAGGGTATCTGAGTATTTGGGGGAGAGGAGTGGTTTTCCTGGATAGGGTTAGCAAGGGTCTGTGGAGTTGTTCGCAAGGGAATACTCACTGCTGTCTTTGGACTTGCGGTTGTTGCTTTGGTTCGGAAAGAACTTTTGCTTGATGAATAAAAGCGCCATCTTGCCTTGACAGCAACTGAAGCTTCTCCGTAAAAATTGACAGGAACCGTTGAGCTCTGACGTCAGGGTCAAGTCTTGACTTTTTTGGCAGTTTAACAGCGACTTTGTATGGAGTATAGAGCAACACCACAATATCAGGGATAATAAGAGATCAATCAACCTGAGTAGCTTGAGAGAAGAGCTCCATCCCTTCCATCTTATATCTCCTCGCCTCCCAATGCGACAAAATTGCAACACTTGCCGTTTGGTAACAGACGGACTGACTCTCACAGCCAATCAGGGCTCGGTCAAAGGTCAGCGACGGAGATCTCTTCCATATTTTTCTATCGCTGAAATCAGCAGTGGCCAATGGATTTGTGATGGCTGCTAATCCAGGGGGTATGAGTGGTTGTTCTTGTTTTTTCTGATGTTTTTCTATGATCGTTCTTTTTTTTTCTGCTTTTTATTCGTTGGCTTGTTATGGAAGGGTTGGAAGGGCTATTATTGGTGTGTGAGCGGAGCGGAGTTATTAACCCCGTCAGCCCTATTACTGCCTATTGCCTACAGGCTACAGAGTACTCTCACTAACAAATAAAACAAATCGAGGTATCATTTACTAAAACCTGTACAGAAAGCCAAAGAAAACTCCAAAGTCACAGCATGCGATGCAATCTGATCATTTCGACCCGAATGCTTGATTATTAACAGACGAAGAAGACACCTCCCTTAACACCCTTACAGAGCAAGGGCGAGACCAAAGATACCAGCGGCACCAGCAACGGTGGCAGCCATGCCGGTCTGAGCGGGAGCAGCACCCTCCGAGGTGTCGCTGGCAGCAGCGCCAGAGCTCGACGAGGACGAAGACGATGAGGAGTCGTCAGAGCTGTCGTCGTCGTCGTCAGAGTCCGAGGTAGAGGTGGCAGTAGCGCTGCTACCGGTGGAGGTGACGGTCGAGCCGGAGGTGGGGGTGGCAGAGACACTGAGGCTGCTGTCGAGGTCCCAGAGGTAGCTCTGGACACCGGTGGGGACGCTGGACCACCAGTCAGGGTACTTGCTGCTCTCGAGATCGTTGAGGACAGAGGTCTGGGCAGCGGAGTTGGTCAGGATGTTCTGAAGCCAGGTGCTGGGGACGGCGGTAGCGAGGACCTCGACGACGGAGCTGGGGACGTCGGGGATGTCGATGCCGGTGGGGATGGAAGAGAGAATGTCGGTTTGGGAGGCACTATGGTGTGTTAGTCTTGATCTTCTATCTGTGTCCTTTTGAATGCGAGAACTTACAGCGAGTCCAGGCTAGCGATGATGTCAGAGTAGTTATTGCCATCCTGAGGAGCAGCCATGGCAGAGGCCGAGAGGAGGAACAGAGAAAGAGTCTTGTAGTACATTGTGACGGTAGGTAGGTACTTTTGCTTAACAAAAAAAGACTTGGGGTATCAAGAAAGGCTGAGGAAATATGCAAGAGAAGAAGAGTGATGAATCTGTGTCTGAAGAACCAACCTCAGTGGAAGCAACAGCCCCTTTAAATACTTACATCTTCCCATCCACCGGCCGTGGGATTTGCCCAGAAATGCACGAGAACGCCTTGTCGGAACGCAGACAAGAAACGACCGAATCAGGGTCCATCGTGCCGCCAACACAAGCCGGCAATGTCTGGGCTAGTGGTGTTGGGCACGAGCCTTTCTCATTCGGCCCCCAACTCTCGTCGCCATACTAGCATTGGTAGCATTTAACTGCGCCAACCAGAGGCTGTCCGTGCGGATGCGCTGTCGGCGCCGATCACCGGGCAATGCGGCTCTGCCTCGTATTCAGGCAGGATGATGTTCATTACTGAGCCTTACTGAACAGGTACCTGTACGGAGTATATACGGAGCAGAGTACGGAGTACCCCGTAGAATGCAGGAGTAAGCCAACCTAAGAAGTGATCATATCACTATACTAACACAGTTCAGAAGGAATAGGCTGGCTATGTACAGAGTACGGATTACTTGTAGAGAGTCAGTCCACTCCCGGACAAGCTACCCCATAACATTACCCTTTCGCGTTAAAGCGAGATCCTTCTTGGCGCTCAATTTCCCTCTGTTATTTCCCTCTCTCATTCTCAAACAACACTCGTTCTCTCATTCTCTGTTCGTCACAAGAACACTGCGCCCCAATCGAGTCATTTCCGCGGGTTATCACTATTGCGCGATTAATCAATCTATAATCAATTCAATAGCGATCACCAATCTCGGCGTCTAGCCCTGTCTAGCCTTATATCATTCTTTCACCGTATGGCGTCCTGTGCCGCTGGACAAGGCAGACTAGCACTGATCGCGGGTGGTGATTGTGTGGTGGGGCTGGTTTTGGTGTTCTTCCGGCAGTTCCGGCCCCATCGCTTAGTCGACGAATTAGAAGGCAGATAACTCCGCCCGGATGTGCATATAAACCACTTCAAAGCTAACCAAGTGCCTTCGGGCATTTGGTCAATTTGAAACGATACAGAGAAGATTAGCATGGCCCCTGCACTAAGGATGACACGCTCAATCAAAGAGAAGCTACCAGTTTTTTTTGAAATCGTTACAGGGCTAAATTGATGGTTTTTGCCTAATTGGGATTTGTAGGTTGTAGCGGAGGTGCGTTCGAAACCGGTAGGCTGCAACCCGCAGGCGCGACTTTTTTTGTTTTGTCCGTCCCCTACAACTCAAAGTACGAACATGGCCCAAAACCAGGGCCAAGTTCATCAAACACAAAATCCAGGCAAATCCCAGCCTCTGTACAGATAAAATGCAACTCCTTCTCATGCGCCTCATAGCCAACATAGTAGTCGCCGCTGCATATTCGAAGATAAATACGCGACAGGAACGGGGTCACCTCTCTGTGGACAGGAAGCAAATCCTGCACACGCTCATGAATGGTTAACTGCACCCAGTAATGATAGGATAAACTCAGATCATCTCTGAGTCCCAGTTCGAGCAGCGTTGCTGGCAGAACGGAGCGTAGGTCGATTCCATCACTTGGGTTGTATCCCAAAAGCATGGTTATCGGGATCTCGGCACTTTGCAGACGATGGAAGTTCTTTAGAAATCCGAGGAATGGCTTGTATAGCGCTTTGCGGTATTCGTCACTAAGGTTATCTTCAGAGACGCGGGGGTAGCAGTCAAGGCCAACAGACAGTTTCTCTACGGTGTCGCTGACTGAATCCAGTGCCTGGACGACGAATTCATATTTTCTCTCTTTGAACAATGAATGTGCTAGACCCAGGTGAAGGCTCCTGAGAGACTTTGCCTGACTGAGAAGAAACAGGACATCCTCTTCTGTAATAGTTGACCGGGCCAATACCAGGGTTCGTAGGTTTCCAAGATTGCAGTTGAATTCTGTTTGCCGTGTTTGTTGTAGTTCTGTGGTCTCTCTCAGCCAAATAGCCAGATGTTGAAGCGCCGGTAAACAAAACCACCCTATGAACTGCTCTTTGTTGTAGAAGGACGGATACCCTTCTGTCTCCTCCAAAACCCCTAACTCCGGATCCCATCCCCCTGGAAGCGGCACATTTCCACCATAATCAACCAGCTGAAGTGCCTCAAACCGCGACATTATGTTATCCGGCAATGACTCTAGAAGTGCATGCTTCACCATCCGACCAGGATACCCACCTTGCCAAACGAAGGAGTAATCCAAGCGAAGCGTCCTCAGATTATGGAGCTTGGAGATACAAAGCGTCCAGAAAATATGGGGATCCCCCTCGTAGACCGCCTGAATCCACTCATCTGCATCGGGAAATTGAGCTCGCTGAATGGTGTCGATTGTTTTATCCACCACGTCGATGAAAACAGTCTGTTCTCGGGGCCAGTCCGACAACTGCCCCCATTCGTTCCATTCGCAATTTATGATATACTGCCGAAAGAACGCCACATGATGCACAAAGTATGCTAATTCCGGCCTTGCGAAGAAGGTACGCAAGAGTTGGAGTGGTGTGCGGAGACGAGGCGTGTCCCAGTCTATGGTAATTCTTCGGTATAGAGAAGGCTCAGCAGAAGCCCGTAAGGCCCTGCAGGTCTTTAAAACTCTGGACCGGTCATCTAATGGGAGGTATTCGAGGATTTCTTCCCAGCAATCCTGCGGAAGTAGGTGGAATTGACCAGCGGAAGATGACACTGACAGGATGAAGCAAACATCGGTTTAATAGACGTTGACGATTTGAATAGGAGATGAATGGCTGACGCAGAACTGGTTGTTTTATAAATAGTATGAGGATGATGGATATGGTACAAAAAAGAGCAGCCATCACGTGCCACAAATTGGACGGCGAAAAGAATCGCCCGACATTGCATGAATGTAGTCAAGTCTGATGATATTCTCTACCCATACAATATCACATAAATCATTTCAACAAAAAAAAAAAAAAAAAAAAACATACAAATACTGCACCGCATTCATTCGATTGGATACGGACACAGTATAGCTATAAATAAGTGCGGTAGCAGCTGCTTGTTGAAGTGCAGTCAGAATAGCCTTATTATAATTAATATACAAGTTTTCATATCAAAAATATACAATCATAACCCCATCATATCGCGTCAAGTGTTCAATCAAGCACCCCCCTCCCTCTTCGCATACTCGTCCTCCATCCTCTCCTCATACAACCGATCCGCCTCCTCCTTACTCAATGCCCGATCACTCCCCGCATTCTCCAAAAGATCGGAGTTCTCCGCCGCAATGTATCCCGGGGCCGTCACCATGCCGCCGGAGCCAGTGCCCACGAGACGGCCGCTGCTGTTGTGTTCCATGCCGGAGAGGGCTTCGATGGAGGCGTGGCCTGCGGAGCCGGAGGGGCGGGTTTCGTTGGAGGATTTGGTCTGGTCGTAGGTGGGGATTGGCATTTTGGGTTGTTTTGGTTCAATGGGAGTGGATATGTGGAGGTTTAGTATTTGTGCGTGTTTGTAGGAGTGACAATGTTATTTTTCTGGGGATAGATGGATGAAGTAGCAATGTACAAAGTACGGATGCAAGTATTTTTTATATTGACTCAACGGTGGCGATAAGAGCAGGACGTCATGGCTAGATAAGATTCGTGGCTAGTGTGGCTGTACTGTGGCTGATCCACTACCGTTTACGATAGCGTTATTCATCGTCTATTCCAACGAGTTCGTTCAGCGAGCGATGGCATTCACAAGCTTCGTATATCTGTTCAGATCCTAACAGGACAGCAGTTCCTTGATTTTTCTTGAAAAATTTACTTTCTACGAATGATACGGAAACCTCTTCTCCACCCTCGGGCATATAGCCCAAGAACTGATGAAAAGGAAATGAAAATATGTCCTCGAGAGGAACGGTGCCAAAGAATACGCCTGTCAATGACCCGAAGGCCGTTGAACGGACTGTTCCGCCGCGATGTGCAATGCAGGGCCCAATCCGTGGTAAGCCGCCTACTTGAGCGCAGCCACCCAAACAAGGTAAGTATGAAGAAAAAAAAAGAAAAAGGTTCAAAGGGTGGCGGGGAGAAGATACTTATATAGGGAGGGGTGGGGAAAGGGGGACAGCGCTAGTGCTTAGCGAGAGCTAGTTGAGAAATATGATTGGTTTCCGGATAACCCCCTGCTTATTCAGAATAGATTGTGTTTGCAGTGTTTGCATGTCGCTTGGGAGCATTCGAATGCCCTGTATTGGACCTACGCTTGCTACCAAGAGCCGACACAGTATATACTCGAAAGTCAAAAGTACACGTAAAGTATGTATCTACTCAGCGCTCAAAGCAAGACATGCATCCACAGCCAAACCAACCCTGTATACCGTCAGCTGCTTACCCTATTTGGTTAACCATTTACGGATCTACTTACCTCCCCTGCTTTATCTTGACCACATCATCAATGACTTCCCGGTCGAGATTAGGAAACATGTTCGACAATGTTTCCACTACATCATTGTGCTCCACACGCTGTATCTGCCGCGCCTGTGCATCTTCCGCGCTGGCTTGACGCGCTGCCGCATCCTGTGCATCCAAAACTCGTTCAAGATGCTGCTGTGCCCGTGGTCTCTCACCTGACCGTCGTTCCTCAGTACTATGACGAGGAGGTTGGTACACATTAGGAGAAAGTCGCGGGGGTGCTGGAGATAAAGGTGATGCGCCAGACGGTGAGTGTCGATCTTGCGGCGAATCCGGCTCGTCTGAGAACATTCTTCCGATTGTCGATAATGGCTTCTGGATAGTTCGCAGCAACCCGGCGACCGGCGCCGTATCTTCGTCGCTGGACGGTTCCCTTCGCCCCGTGCTCCGCTGGCCTTCGACAGAACTCCGCGTTGACTCTTGCGGACTGCCCGAACGCTCTGCTGCTTTCTGCTCCATGGTCTCGGTTTGACGGTTCTGTTCGGCAATGGCAGATACAGCAGCCTCGACATTTTGCTCAAACTCTTCGTCGCTCACCGTCAAACTTGTCCTGTCAAGTGTTTCAATGAACTGAATGGCTCCAGACAATGAAGACAGATAGTAGCCTGCTTCCCCTCCAAGCTTCTCCTGGTTGCGGAAACGAAGAATGTACTGAATGTTAGAAACCAAATGTTCAGGGTTGGCTCGTAGCACAACAAAAATCAGCAGCGGCACGAATGAATCAGCCGAAGTATCTCCTTTCTTGGAATTTCTTAGTAGACCTACAAAATTGTATCAGCATTTATTTTTATCCACGATCCGAAACCTGCTCACTTACCAAAAATAACTTTGCAGCAATTCAAAATGCAAATAACCTTATCGCGCGGTGCCCGGTACCCGTTGATCTTCATAAGCTCTGCTTCATGTCAGATATATGCATCACAGGATATAAGGGAAATACCCACCTTGCTGCGCTAAATTAAGAAATCGACGACCATGATTATTCACCGGCGAAATATCTAGATGCTCTTCCCGTACCCAACTATAAATCTTCATCTTCTGTGCGAGGACGTCATCCCGCTCAATATCTTCCTGATGTTGACCTCGCCTCCACGGTCCATGAAGCCTTTCGAGTTCTCTCCGCTTACTTCGACTTGCACTCCGCGGGATCGAGGGCGGTTGCGGGATAGCCGGGGAGAATGTTTGCGAGTACAATCGATTCATCACAAGCTTCTCCATTCCCTCCTTGGCATTATCGAATTCATTGTCCGAAACGTCCCGCCAAACCTCACACATGGCCATCTTGTTCGTGATGAACGCTAGGAAGTCGCTGATAATCTTAACCTGCTCATGGACCATCCATTGCCTCTTTCCAAACTCGTGAAGAAACGAGCGCAGGAATTTAGCAACGGGGTCTGCAGTACGATGACGTAGTTGTTCCAGGAATCGATGAAAGTCAAATCGTTTCTCAGGCTCAGGTGGTGGAGGTGCTGTAGAACTCGAGGAACGCCGGCTCAGCATATCTTCATCGTGTATATGTGGGTTGCTAGGAGCGCGTGCAGGCTGCTTTTCGGACGAAGAGGATGCTGTTCCAGCCGGGCCAGGGGCGACTTCGACTTTCTTTTTGTGGTCCAAGCTTGATTGCCGGGGTGGATAATTACCAAAGAACTGTTCAGCAAGTTCCAAACGTGGCGACATTAACTGCTCTGGACCCTCCTGAAATTGTCCCATAATGCTTTGGATTTCGGGCTGCGAGGAGTCGTGTTCCCGGCCATCTTCGGCACCTAGTGTTCCCTTGTTGTCACCTAGATCTTGCCCCCCAGGAACATCCGGTAGCTCTTTCTCATTCCATTCCGAAGATGGGTCGATTGGAGATTGCGGAGGATGCGTAGGTCTGTTGGAGCTAGCTGGGTTGAGGTAGACTTCGTCCTTAGCCGGCGGCGGAGGGGGGGCGTCGCTGGACGACGATGGCCGGTCCTCGGGTATATTAGTCGACACCGAAAGTCCCTTCATTTTCTCCGGGAGCGACTCATTGCGTGACGGCGTAGCGGGCGGAGCCTTCATGGTAGGTGCAGCCGTTTCTGGCTCGTGCGGAGTTTCTGGCTTCATTTCGGTCTCCTGTACATTCTCCTTTTCCGTAGCCGCGACCCCCGTCACTGGTTCCTGGCCGGTCGGTTCAATCACCTGCTGCAATTCTTCGGTCCCTTCATGGGGAGGGATTGGATGAGCATCCCCCTGTCCAGTGAGACTCGGGGAAGCTGGCGGTTCGGTGGTAGACATAAGCTATCTGCATGCGATTCTTAACGGTAAAACAATGGATGAGGAGCGCGGCTCAAATGGGTACTTGGAGCATTATGGAATGTAATTCAAAGTTGATCAGGAAGCTCTGCTGCAAATGCCAGACAGAGGAAGAGTTGTTGTTGTTCATTTCATCCTCGAGAATAATCGACGAAGCGCCGCGGCGGGCATCATCACGGGGGACCCACTTCGTACGGGACTGGGATCATCATTGTCCCGGATAAGCCGACAGAATACTACGGTTGCCCCGAGGAGTACAATTACTCAAATACACCAGTATCAATGTGTGGGATTTTCTTCTCCTTAAGCACGGCGGGACCCGTGCTTCCAACTGAGGAGACAAGCAATTTATTACGGCAGCGAGGGCCAGACAGTTTTCGAGTCCACAATGTCCACCAGGATATCCAGATTTATGACTCTAAGGGTGATGGCCAAATCTTGAAGACTATTCCTGCTCATTTGACCTTCATCTCGACTGTCTTGTCGTTAAGGGGCGACCATGTTCACGCTCAACCCCTGGTGGACAAAGAAAGCCAGTCCGTGCTCTGCTGGAACGGGGAGGCGTGGAAAGTAGCCGGAGAACCTGTTCAGGACAATGACACGGAATTGATCTTTCAACTATTCTTGCAGGCAGCTAAACCATCATCTGCATCTGAGGATGCCGTTCAACGGCTTGCAGATCTGATCAGTAGCATATCGGGCCCTTTCTCATTCGTGTTCTACGATGCCTTCAGTTCGAAGTTGTTCTTTAGCAGGGATTGTCTAGGGAGACGGTCTCTTCTACATGGTACCGATGAGAATGGAAGTTTAAAGCTTTGCAGCCTGTGTAACGGCACGTCTTCGACTGTTTTCGAAGAAGTTGATACAAATGGAGTGCACATGATTGATCTCACGGTTCCTGGTACGGCTACGGCGCATAACATTCAAACTCTACCTTGGTCGAATGATAAAGAGTTACCAGCAAACCATCTCGTACGTGACGGTCCTAGTACTGGTGGGAAGTAGTACTGACGGAGTGTAGAAAAACCCAATCCCACCAATGAGCAAATCCGTCCCCAACAGCAATCCCAGCTTAACCATAGAATCAGACGTTGTCGGTGGACTCGAGCAAAAACTCTGCCAATCCCTCGAGCTGAGGATCAAAAACGTCCCAGACCAAGGCCAAGGTCAAGATGCAACAAAAGTAGCCGTGCTATTCTCCGGTGGTCTCGACTGCACGCTCCTCGCCAGACTCTCCCACGAAATCCTACCAAGCAACGAAACAATTGATCTCCTCAACGTCGCCTTCGAAAACCCACGCGTTGCTGCAGCAGCGGCAAGAAGCAAAGAAACCTCCACAGAATCAGTCTACGAGAGCTGTCCAGACCGTGTAACCGGTCGATCAGCATTCGCAGAGTTACAAAGGGTCTGTCCAGACCGTAAATGGCGACTTGTTGCAGTCGACGTACCCTACACGGAAACAATTTCTCATCGAGACCGCATAAAACGCCTCATGAGACCACATAATACCGAAATGGACCTCTCAATCGCATGCGCGTTATACTTTGCGTCCAGGGGACAAGGTACGGCGTACGAAGGCGAAGAAGCATTCCCCTACACAACCCCATCCCGTGTTTTACTTTCAGGGCTCGGCGCAGACGAGTTATTTGCTGGATACGGCAGACACGGAGTCGCGTTTAACCGCAACGGATACCAAGGCTTGATCGACGAAGTACATCTAGACGTCAGCCGTCTTGGTAAACGGAACCTCGGCCGCGATGATCGAATCCTCTGCACCTGGGGCCGGGAAGCACGGTATCCGTTCCTGGACGAAGAGTTTGTGTCTTGGGTTTTGCAGACCCCAATCTGGGAGAAGTGTGGGTTTGGAATGGCGGATTCTGAAATCCCGGAATCAGAAAAGGGGCTTGATGCAGAGAAGAAGGCACTCAGGCTTGTTGCTCTCAAACTGGGTATGGAGAAGGTCTCGCGGGAGAAGAAACGGGCCATTCAGTTTGGGTCTAGGACGGCTAAGATGGAGAAGGGTCGTACGAAGGGGACTGATGCATTAAGCTAGTTCTATTCATACTAAATACATATTGCATTATTGTGTGGTCAAATAGTCAAAACCGCATTTCTGGCCTCTCGAGTGAAGAGGGTGTGATATTTTAGTTTCCTCAATCTCTGAAAGAAGAAATAATCGGTAACAAGTCAAAACTTTTAAAGATCATATCTGGGATTGTTCTCCAGAAGATATCCGGTAGTTGAAAGTCGCTGTCTTACGAGCGAGTATCCTCCTAAAGTCCGAACGTTCGGCCCATTCCGCATTTTCGACTTGCTTGCAATGAAAGTACGTGGTGATATGCCTAAAATATAAGTACCTCTTTGCCAACCGATCCACATTCCTGAAGACAAGCTAGCTCTCTTCGCTCAATGCTCTAGCTGGCTGGACTACGATGTTTTGGAGGAAAGAGTCGGACTTGGAAAAAGACCGGGACAGATGACCGCTGAAAGAGGAAAAGGCCACACTGGATGGTGCCTTGTGCTCTTATGACTGTAAACTGTACATTGAACGAAATAAGAAATGCAGCATTAGTGAACTTGGCCTCATGTTGACTAGACGTCAACGTAAATGTAGGCATTAAAAACAAATACCCGTTTACCCATTACCATTATTTCAATATGAAGGCTCATGACCAGTAAAATGTTCTCGGATAATTCAGAAGTTGGTTTAGAATTCTATGGACTTGTCCAGTGGCATATATTGCCAGTGAAGGAGAATATGATTTCATGGCCATAACTTGAGTCTGATAAAAGATGACAAGAAATTGATAAGCTCGATAAAGATGAGTAGACTCAGTCAAGAGCACCAAGGAAAATAAAGAGAAGAAAGAAGAAGCCCTCCTTCCAATTAGGGCCACCCCAAAGCCCCCAAAGCCCCCAAATCCCACTAACCGACAACAGAAAGCGGTATATACCGACAGAACGCGCTGCCCCTTGGATAGATTCTTCCTCTCCAACTTCTTCTACCTTATTTACACACAGTACGATGCAAATGCAACGTACAAACCAGCAATGATGACAAAAAATCAGATACTTCCGAAACCTACTCTCTGTCCCCTCTTCTGCAGTGTTTATCATTAGTTCTTGCTGCCTTTGGCTTCGTTCATTGGCCTCTTTCACGCTGCAATTGTTGGTTGTTAGAAGAAGAGGTATGGATGGGTTGTTGGTTAGAGGATAGATGGTGAAGGGTGTATCTACGGAAGAGAAGAGAGTTGGTTTATGAGGGGTTAAAAAGGCAAGTCTGAGTTGGTAGTGAGAGTGTACTTTACAGCGATGGGAGACGCAAGAATAAACTACGTGGAGCATGATCTACTTGTACGAATTTGATATGGACGTAGCGAGTTGAAGTAGGGATAGAGAATTGAATTCAAGCTGACAATCTGGTAGCAATAAAAAGCAAGCAAACTATTAAGCACGACCACGAGTCAATCGTACTACAACCGCAAAACAGTCGTAGATGTCAGAACCGATCGGCCAACATGCGCAAAAAAAAAAAAACATAGAACGCAACAAAACACACGATAAGAAACTTTTAACCGCCAGAACTGACAATTACATCTGACGTACAGTGACCCAGGGCTCAAGGCTCCGCTCACGGTCAAAAAAACCATATAATCAACAAACCGGAAAGAAAACAGCATGCCAACACAGCAGGGATATAGAACTAAAAAGCAACAAAACCAAATTATGCCTTGTTCTGGGCAAGGGCCTTCCAGTATGCCTCACGCTTCTGCGACTCCTCAAGAGAATTTTCAAGCTCAGCAATTCGGTGCTCCAACTCATCCTGTCGCTGCAACTTGCGAGCTCGAGACTTGCGAGCGGCCTCGGTATTCCGGGCACGCTTCATTGCAACTGGGTCGCCCGAGTCAAACTTGATGACAGGCAAAGGCTTGCGCTGACGAGCATTGACGCCAGCAACAGACGAAGGCTTGGCAGAAGACGCGCGCGAAGGAGAAGGGGAAGGAGCGAGTTGAGGTGCCGGAGACGAGGGAACATCGACCACAGGAGATGGCGGAACAGGGAGGGCTGAAGCCTTGGGGGGAGGCATGGCCGCGGCGACCTCCATGGCAGTAGAGTCAAACGCAGCCGAGAAGGCATCGGTGTCATTGGTGGGGAAAAGGGGATCCCACTGCTCGTGGCCTGGCGGGAACTCCAACTCTGTGAACATGGGGGAGGGGTCTTGGCTGAAATATCCGGGCGACTCGAAGGACGGTGTGCTCAAATCCGTGAGGGAAGCCGACGGCGGGGCCGAGGCATCCATCATCAGATCCTTGGGCGAGATAGTGCCCGAGGGAGCACCCGCTATCGAGTCGGGAACCGGCCCCAAACCCGCAGTAGAGAATTGCTGAGGAGAGAGCATAGTGGCATCGAAGTCGTCCCCGAAGGGGTGCGACGGGATATCATTAAAGAAGCCAGACATTTCTAGGCCTTGGGCGAGATTAGGCTGCGACATGAGGCGACGACGCTGGTAGTTCTGAAGCTGTAGCTGTTTCTTATACTGATGATTCCAAGCCGAATAACGACCGGCACTGTTGAAGAGTGGAACGGGAGGATGGGGCGAATTAAAAGGCACAGAGGCGGCGTGATAACGCGAAGCGTACTTCCGAACGGAAGGATTGGAGCGATTAAACGACGAAGACAATGAAGACTGAGGAAACCCGGTCGACTGCGGAAGAGGCCTGGTCACTGATTGACTGGGCTGCTGCTGAAGCTGTCGAAGACGATTCTGCTGGGACTGGACCAGGAAAGGTTCCAAGGCCGAGGGTTTATGGGTTGTAGTTGTTGGAGCAGGCGCACGCGAAGGCGTTGTCGTTGGCACGGGCGCGGGTGTTGTTGGAAAGAGCACAAAGTCCTCCTGAAGGGAGTTGCTGTCGTTGTTGTTGTCTTTGGATTCTGATTTGGGAGCCTGAGGCTGCGGTAAAGGAGGTGAGGGAAGCCATGATTGCTGATTGGTATCCGTGATGAACGACGTAAAGTCGAACGTAGAAATGTTGTTGTTGGGAGAACTTGAGCTACTCGAAGCGAGGCTAAAGTTCAGAGGTCCTGGAATAGGAGACTCTGAAGGAGGAATAGAAGAGGCACGAGGCTGAATCGACGAAGTCCGTGAAGGATTAATGGTGTCTGTCTCGAAGGAGAAAGACGGGCTCTCAAAGACTGAAGAGCTTAGCAGGAGTTCATTTTGACGGTGATCAAAGTCGGTAAATGGAAGCTCTAGATTCTGAATGGTGAAGTTGGAAAGATAATATCAAGTAAAAAGTGGTGGATGACAGCAGTATTTTATGTAGAGAAGAAGAGTTGTGTGGGAGATTTGAAGCGAGAAAAAAAGAGAGAAAAAAAGCGACCAGGCAGCAAGAGGGGGAAATCAGGCACTTCTTAAACTGCCCGTTCTCCCGTGCGCCCGTGGCCCCACTTCAGCCAATAAGAGACTGCACTGCCCCGGTCAATCGGTCTAGTCCAGATTGGGACTAGACTGGCCCGTGCTCAGCGACACCAACTGTGACTCACACCTATTAAGGTCTGTTATTGGCCAATTCTGCACTTCCCCTAAAAGCATATACGAGGTACCTGCGACTACACGGGAAATTGCGTTGCGCACAAAGTATCTCAGAATATCGGTCTGGACGGGTCAATAAGGCCATGGTGATGAAATCGAAGCCATTGACCAATTATAGACAAAATAATTGAAGACTAGGCATCACAGCGACAGTTCGTACGGCGCATTTCTGCATCAACATTCAAGGCAGCCACCGGCTAAGCCTCCCCATCATGCATCTAGTCCACGATCTTTTCCTAATTCATTCCCCGCTTGAGCCTCACCGCGGCTGGTCCATTTCCATGTCGTCAAAAGAGCGTCCTCCGTCAACACTTGAACACTTGTACGGATACATACACTACTACTCCGTCGGACTCCCGATCGAGTTAGCCCCCGACCGCTGCAAATCCCGCGGGTGTCCGGCGCCAGTGTTATCACCACTCTCCCTCGGCTATTCTCGCTGATGTTCACTACACAGGCAATGGGGCTCTTTCGCTTACTGTATTTACTGCAACACTGAAAATACAACAATGATAGAACAAGAATAAGAATACTCTATTAATTATTACCTACTGGAGATTATACATGGACCGACCGAGGCCAGTCCAACATTAACAGCGGTACTAACGATAATCGCGGTCAATCTGAGAGGAGACATCCAAACACGACTGCATCCGCTTCTTTTCCCCCACAGGGTATCAACGCAAAAAGCAATCCAATAGCAACAAGAAAAGAAAACAAACAACAGCAAGCCAACAACGCGTCACATGGTATCAATCTAGTCTGCGCACAACGGGAACACACACCGAGGCCGTGTCCAGGTATCGTTGTGAGGGGATATCATAAAGGAATGGAAAAAACCGACTTCGACAAGCAGAAAAGAAATGTCAAAGCAGCATTGGGTATCATTGACACTATTCTCAATGGTGAGGTATCCAGAGAGAATAAGCGCCAGTGCGGGGAAAAAAAAAAAAAAATCCAACAAACAAACATGAACTCTTTTTTTCTGATTTTTGTGCTCTTTTCTCGTTCTCACTCTTGATCATTTTTCGAAATTATGCAAAACAGCTTCGTAGAATGCAAAAACTTCAACTCACGGTCGAGGCACTAAGGGGCAAGTAGGGTTGATCCCACCATCGCTCGTATTCCACGATGCGCCTCGGACGACTGGTAGTTCATGCGGCAGCCTGGACGGGGGTGGAAGAGGTGACGTTGTTGGTCTTGGACTCCTCAGCAGGGGTCTCAGCGGGCTTAGCCTCCTCCTGAGCGGGCTTCTCCTCAGCGGGAGCGTCCTTGGCGACAGGCTCGGGCTTGTCCTCAGCCTTGGCCTCGGAGTCAGCAGGAGTCTCCTCCTTCTGGTTGTCCAACTTCACGGCCTTGCTGGGCTTGCGGAAAAGACCGCCAAGCTTGTTGCCCTTCTTGCCCTCAGCATCCTCAGTGTCGGACGAGTCACCCTTCTTCTTACCAAAGTTACCGAAGAAAGAGGTGCGGCGCTTGTCCTTGGGGGTCTCGGCAGGAGACTGGGCGGCAGAGGCGTCCTTGGCGGCCTCACCGTCAGCGGGAGCGGTCACGCTCTCAGGCTCGATGGGCTTGCCAGCAGCACCCTCGACAGGGTTGTCGAGCTGGGGAGCGGTGCTGGCGACCGAGGACTCAGCGGGAGCGGCGGCCTCTTTCTCAGTCTTCTCCTGAGAGGGGCTGCTGACCTTCTGGAAGAAGTTGCCGAACAAGGAGCTGCGCTTGGACTTCTCAGCCTTCTTGTCCTTCTTCTCTTCCTTGTCGTCCTTCTTCTCCTCCTTGGGCTCTTCCTTCTTTTCTTCCTTGTTCTCTTCCTTCTGCTCGGCCTTGTTCTCCTCCTTGTTCTCAGACTCGGCAGCAGGAGTAGCTGTAACCAGTTAGCGTTATGCTGTTACGTAGTCTTAGGTACAGTGTACTCACCCTCAGCAGGAGTCTCAGTAGCCTGAGCAGACTCAGCGGGAGCCTCGGTGTTGGCCTCAGCCTTGGCCTCCTCGGGCTTCTCTTCCTTCTTCTCCTCAGTCTCCTCCTTCTTGCCGAGGAGGGATCCGAAGAGGCTGGCGCGCTTGCGAGACTGAGAGCGGCTCTTGGCGGACTTGTCCTTGTTCTCCTTGTTCTCGGCGTTCTCCTCAGAAGGAGCGGCCTCCTCCTTGGACTCTTCCTTAGCCTCTTCCTTGTTCTCAGTGGGCTTCTTAGCGGCCTCAGCGCCAGCGGGCTTGTCTGGAAGTTGTTAGTTCGGAATCATTTAGGGCTCGGAAATTGGCACTTACTCAGCTTCTCAAGCTCAGCCTTGTAACCCTCGCTGCCGGTGATAACCTCCTTCTCAGACTTGGCGTCGGCGATCTTGGCCTCGAGAGCAGCGACCCAGCTGTCACGCTCAGCAGCGTTGCCGGCCTGGAAGGTGTGCTTGGTACCGTTGACCTTGAAGAGGAACTCGGTGGCACCCTCCTTGGTGAGGTCGGTGGCATCGGCCTATTCTTGTTAGTCTCAATCACCAAAACAGAATAATATCGAGTACATACCAAGCCGAAGATACCAGCGGGGGTGGCCTTGTCCTCAGCGCGCTTAGTGAGGAAGAACAGACCCTTACCGGTCTGGCTAGCCCAGGCGGCGATAGGGTTGGCAACAGCGGGCTTCTCGTGCTGGTGGAAGACAGCGAGCTGCTTAGCCTCGACAGCGTCATCCTGGAAGTAGAAGAAACGCTTGGAGAAACGGAGAGACCTGTTCTTTGTTAGTATCTTGTTCTTCATTTTCCGTTTTCCGTGGACACTCACTTGACCAGACCAGGGGCCTTGTAGCCGAGCTGGCCCTCGCTGGCAGGAGTCACCTCATCCTTCTTGTTCTCGTCCTTGGGCTCTTCGGCGGGCTTGTCGGCGCTCTCAGCAGCCGGGGCAGCAGCAGCCTCGGTGTTCTCCTGAGGGGTCTCCTCCTTGGGAGCTTCGGGCTGCGCAGGGGTCTCGGTAGCGGGAGTCGACTCAGCAGGCGCAGGAGTGGTCTCGGTGGCAGGAGCAGCCGCGGGGGTCTCCTCGACGGTCTTCTGGGGCTCAGCAGACATGGTGATGAAGATTAGGCGTTATTATAAAACGGTATAGAGGATTAAAAAGAGAAGTATGGTATAGGGAAGGATCTCGATTAAAAACGTTCAAGAAAAAAAAAAAAAAAAAAAAAAAAAAAAAAAAAAGGGTATCGTTTAAGGGGTATCTCAACAGAAATGAAACAAAGAGACTCTTTTCTTCACAAACAAAGAAAGAGTAACTTTCGGGTATCACAACGAAGTGGAAAGAGAAGGGAGGTTGAATCTAGCGACAGGAAGGAAGAAAGGTGAAGAAGAAAAGAAGAAGATGGGAAGAAAAAAAGGGAGGGAAAAAGACGAGGGCGGGCACTGGCGACAGAAAAAAAAGATGTAGTCAAACCCGAAGAGGAAAGGAGCGACGTGTAAAGTTAGGTTATTTTTTTTTTTTTTTTTATTTGGTCAGGGGCTCAGGAGAGTCAGTAGTATAGGTGTGGATCGATACACCCGAATAGAATGAAATAGAGAACACGTAGAGCGCTCTTAGAATCGTTAAGCTAGAAAGAGTACAGAGTATGTTCGTCTGCTATATATATTCAGTTCTTCAGTTTCTACTCTAGTACAGAGTACTCTGTGCATACAAGTACTGTATGCAGTGAGGATGCCTGCGCAGCATCCAGGCAAGTCATCCCTCCGACCACCTGACAGCAACCTGTAGCTCACCACCCGCTGATTGGCCACCCGACCCCATCAGCGGTCCTGCAGATAACGGCTATGGGTTTTGTAATACAATACAGACATAGTTACGGAGTACAAGTATATCCGTAATAGGAGACTCATTTATTAGCTACGACTTTTATAAGTAGTTAGTACTCTGTAGTACTCACCGGAAAGATGTAGTCCTGACTATGTTGACTAGAATAATGGTTCAGTGGACACTCAAGCCGCTCGATGTCCTTGTTCCATGGAACTGTTCGCCTGCTAGTCAGACCGAAGTTCACCTTCCCTTTTCACATGACAGCTGTTCTTACCCAGTACCGTATTTTACACGGTTTGTGAAACAGGGGTCTGGTTGGCCAGCCCTACACCTGTGACCTAATCAGGTGATGGTTAATCACCTGATGTCGCAGTGTTGTTATTAATCTGTTCAACATAGTACTACTTGTAGTCCGTAGAAATACTCTCTGGGTCATGTCTCAATCATGTATTCTAACTACGAGTCAAGTGTAGGACTGCACTTGTTAGTACCTACTTGTACAGAGTACAGGGAAAGTTCAATAAAAATTGGTCACATAACGCCCCGTCGATCCCTCGCGCCGCTTCTTGGCATCCCTTTTATTTAGTCTCGCGAGTCTATCTCGGAGATTTTTTACTTTGTTCCCCTATCCTTCTGACTACTTGTCCTCCGGCCTGACCCCTAATCAAACATGCAAGTGCCAGTCTCCATAGTAATAAAGTAATAATAATACTAATCTACTCGGAGCAAGTCGCAGATAGAGCACCGAGACTGAGATTAAGATGTTCACTACTTTCCTCCCCGTACGGTCTATCTTTATATGCGTATGGGTACCGTATGGTAATTTGACACTAGCTAAGGATTAACTTTGGCTAGCCCGAAACAGAAACGATGGACTTGTCTCGCTCCGACCACGGAACCAGTGCCAAGAAATCTAGAAATTACTCTACAACTTGGATATGGCTTCTGGTAGATGATAGTAGTAGACGACAAGATGCTATACAACTGTAATAGTTAAATAGTACAGAGTAGTGTGTTATAGCGTGCAATAACAGCAGAATGACAGCTTTGACATATATCTGTACTCCGTACAAGTACTATGTAAAGTGCTCTGTACCCCTCCGATGATCCTGAGGGGTCACCTGTCATTCAACACCGTCACATCATAACGCATCACATTACTCTCATATCTACCTGTTATAGTCCTCACGTACATACTCGTAAATCAAACGCTATGCTCAAATGTTCTTGCGAATCCATCGCCACGCCAATTCATCACGCCGCCATCGTCAAAACGTACCTATCAACGTTAGCACCAGCAACTCCACAGACTGAAGGATGATAAGGGGTTAGGGGAGGGGGAAGGGCCCGCATACGATGTAATACTGTCCATCCGCTCCGTCGTCAACTTCAAACTGACAGCCAACAGCTCCTGCGCTATCGCCGGCGCCTCCTCCCGTAACGTCCTCCACTGCTCGGCTCCCAAGCACCACGCCACACAGTCCTGCTCCGCCCTAACCGTCGCCGTCCGCCGCGTCTCGCTGAAGAACGGCAACTCGCCACACGGCCGTCCGGCCACGATCAGCTCGAAATACCGCCCCTGCGGCAGCTCGTACTCTGCCCGGAGCATCCCCGACTCCAACAGGTAGAATCCCTGCGGGTAGTCGCCTTCTTGGTACAGCACTGTCCCTGCTTTGTAGCTCTCGCGCGTCATGTATGCACAGACTGGATACCAGAAGTCCTCGTTCTGAGATGTCAGTCCTTGGAACGTCTGCAAGAGGAGGGGTAGTGGTTGGCGCATCGCTGTCCACGCTGCGGGGATCACCACCGCTGTTTCATCCTCGCGGATCGTTTCCGTTGCGGCTTGTTGCAGGTATCGACGGCGAGGGGAGCTGGTGAGTCCGTCCGCCAATGATGCCGGTCCGGACTGTGGAGGCGCAGTGGCACTCCTGGTAATCGTCGGCACTTCCAGGAAGGTCCGCGACGGTGCATTACTGTCCAGCAACTCTTCTCGGTAATTGTAGAACACCTTGAGGTATTCATTTTCACTGAACTCTAACGCCGAATTGAAATCCTCGAATATCTGCACGCCATTCTCCGGTGCAAATAGTCCGACATTCTGCAGACTCTTCCCCACGTCACCCCGGACATCGAGCCCCGAGATCGTTGTCTGCACGTTCCGTTTGCGCAGAATTCGGTTTATGCGCGTAAACGCCTCCGCTGCGGAGAAGTCCAAGCCATACACTCGCGAGAAGTCTAAAATCAAAAAGCGGATAGGACGTCGGTTGAAAGCTTCCTCTTCGATCAATCCCCGCATCGTGTTTTCGACATCGACAATCGTGCCAAAGAACAGGTATCCGGTCAGCTTCATAATCAACGTCTGCTGACCAGCTTCGCGCAGATACCGCTGTTGCACAGGCGGACGGCGAACCGTTGAACCCGTGATCTTGCCTGAAAACGTGGCTCGAATGGCAGACTTGCGTGATGTCTGTACCACATAACTAACACAGGCCAGGATAATCCCAACAACAATTCCAGCGACAAAGTCCCATGCGCCCATCGTTACTACAATGATCACCACCTGACATCAGTTAGCTCTTGGCTCTTTACAGAGTAAGGTGTTGGCAGGGATTACCGTCAAATATTCCAACCGATGTAGTTTCCCCCACGTATCAACCAAAGCTTCCTGCATCAATTCAATACCGAGTAGGAAAATGAGAGCTCCAACCACCATAACCGGAATGAATCCAACAATCGATGGTCCAACAATCATAATCCCAACAGTAGCCGCTGCCAACATAAGACCTGCCAAACGGGAACTGCCACCGCTGTCGATAAACAGGAGACTATTGGTGTATACCAAATAATTCTAAGTAATTAGCATCGATTCTCCAAACCACCCACAGGAACACATACCTGTATACTACCCGCAAACCCAGACAGAGCATTGGTCACACCATGTGCCATGAGCTCCCGGTCCACATTCAGATTATCCTCACCAGTCGAGATACCCAAAGCTGGAACATTAATAGGAACATGAAGAACGCCAAAGAACGTAAGAGCAAACATAGCTGGAATAGTATCTGCAAACGCAGACCAGTTCACAGCAGAGAAATCTGACAAAGATTTAGCGAAATGAACTGTTCAGTAACGGGGAAAAGAATCTCACCATAAAGCGTATAGAAATGATACCATGGATTCGAAGACGAAGGCGCATCAAACACCCACCCGTGATTCCGCAGAGCATCCATAGGCACTCGCGCACTGAATTTGACAATATAAAAGATCACCCCGGCAGAAATAAAATAGCCGCCAACTAGGAAGTTCGATCGAACAAAACGCTGCAAAACAAGAAGTCCAATGGCAAGGGACAGGGGCACCATCCAAAGAGGCAACGTATCCAATTGGAAAAGCTTCTGCAGCGTGGGAAGGTTGTATTCCAAAGACCCAGATAGTCGAGCTGAGACCTCGACGCCGGTCTGTAGCAGGAAGAAGCCCACGCCCCCGATGCAGCCAATCAGGATATGTCGTGGGAAGAATCCAATCAGGGAACCAAGACGACAGGTTCCCATTAGGAAGAATACCAGTCCTGTTAAAATCGAGCTGACCGAAAATGAGAGGATAGTGGTTGCAATCACGGACTTGGGATTATCATCTCCAACCCGTTGTAGGATGGTAAATGCCATCTGGTGGAAAAAGGGAACCACCTCGATCATCTCACTGCCTATCCCGCCAGTGAAAATCGAACCCCCGGACGAGAAGACCACCTGCGCGATGATGGTACTGACATAAAACATGGAGATGCCGTCGGACCCTAGGTCCGCAAAAACAGACTCCCCCAGCGGGAAGAGAATCATACCGTAGGACAAAGCATCGAGGATATTAAGCAGTAGCCCGAGAAAGACTGACGGGAGTAAGCTAGCCGGATAAACCACGCCATTCCGCCAAACAGCACGTCCATCCCACGATTTGGGGTTAGATAGAACCTGCGAACATTTGGTCACTTTCGAGGCAAACTGAAAGAACGTATTGCGCGGACGTTTGTTTGAAGCATCTTGGCTCTCGACATCCTCTGCGATCCCATACCCCCGGTAAGACTTGGATAGCAAAGATGTCCGCTCAGTAGTAGGATTTTCGCCTTCATCAGCAATAGTAGATGCCCTCTCTTGGTGCAAATCCTCTTCACTGCCGTCATCCTGTTCCTCTTCTTCGCCGCCATTATCATCACTACCAGTAGAAATTCGTTCCTCGAGAGACCCAGTCGGACTACGGATCAGCTGCGTCAACGCAGACGACCCAGTAGCAGGCACACCAACGGGTTCATGGCCTCCGATTTCCGGGATTGCCGAGTCGCGCAAACTTCCCGACGATATCGCATCCTCAGACTGTCTCTCCGAACGACGAAAAATATCCGAATTCTGCGGAAACCGGTTTCTATCCAACGGAAGCGAATGACTCTGAGCCCCATTCAACGAGAGCGCAAACGAGGCTAATTCAGCTGTTTCTTCACGGACACCGTTCGAGGAGTAGTTTGCAGGATCTGAACTTATCAGTATTGCTCAGTTCCGTAAACAGAAGTCAATAGAATGATAGCATACCTAGCGAATTATGAAAAGACCGGTGTAAAAATGACCGACTTGGCGTCCGATAACTCGACCCCCCGTGCACAGAGGGTTCAACCCCAAAGACACCTGGGGCCGGGGGACTGCTGCCATTATTGGCTTGCTCGACGGGGAGATCTGAGTCGTGGGCGAGAAGGTCGTGAGGCCATTCGGTGCTGGAGGGGGTAATGCCTAGGAGCCGGGAGTCACGACGGCGGCGGGGTGGGAGGACTCCCATATTTTATTATGATTATTCTTTTAGTGAAATTCAATGGTTGTTCCTGGAAGTAGATAAGAGTTCTGGTCTGGTGCGTAGAATGACCGAAAACGGCGTGGAGAACGTCCGGGGTCAGAGGTGAGCAATTGGCATCGCTCAGAAGCGAACGAATTGGGGAGCCATAGGGCCAGGCAAGAATGACACGATAAACAGTGAGAGAAGAAGGAGAAAATAAAAGTATTTGAATGGAAAGAAAGAGGTGATACGACGACAATGGAGTGGGAGAAGAAACAAGCTTATCAGAGTGACTAAAACTCTTATCACTGCCTGCTAATTTTATCGCCCGTGCGCTGCCTAGACCTGTAGAGACATTTGATCAGTTAATATATTCAAATGCTTGTATGCTTCGCTCTGTAGTTAAGCTTGTGAATGATAGAAAAGATCTATGCAGCGAAGGGTTTATGTATATTGCTTTTGCTGAGGTGCCGGCAAAGTTAAAACACCTGCAGCATGACAGCTGATACGCTCCGATATTCCCGCAACCGACTTCGGTCAATGCCAATGGGTATCATTAGAATCATAGCATAGTAAGCACTTTATATACAGTTAAATATAATGTTAAATCAACTCAATCGCTCCAAGAACCCCTGCGCAATCAATCGTTCCACATCTCCCTGTCGCACATACAATTGACTATTTTTGGTCAAATTGATCACCCTGTCTCGTCAGTACGCCCTGTCTGACTGAAAGCATAAAAATAGAGCCAAGAGGACATACCCGTATTCCGTCTGAATCTCCCCCGCATCCTTCAAAACCCGCACATCAATAAACAAATCCTGCGGCGGCTCCAAACTCCCTGTCAAATCCACATCCGTCCATTGTCCCTTATACGCCGCCAACATATCCCCATACAGCCGGAAATACTCTTCCTCTTCGGGACTCAACGAGCTATGATTCCCCACCTGTCCAAGAACCGACTCCTGTTGCCCTTGTTGTAATGAATCTTCCGGAAGTTGCTGTTCTAGCAGATCCACGCCCTTCCAGCATAATTCCTCTAGTTTTTCTGTTCGGACACGGTGGTAGGCTAACAGGCAGCGTTTGTTCCGGCGCATGCAGAGGTGGTCGACGAGAAGGGCGCAGGCGATGGCCGGTTGGGCGGAGGGATTGAAGGAGCCTTCGAAGGGGGTGAGGAGACGTGTAACGTCACGGTCGAGATCGCGCAATTCGCGGGTTACGGCGCGGACCATTTCGGTTTGGTAGGGCGGGAGGTGAACGAGGGATTGGGTGCGTTTGGCATGTTGGACCTGTGGCATTTAGTATTTGGAGAGCGGAATCAAGGTATTGATGGGACGCACCAGTTTGTTACCGAGTTCACCGTACATGGTGATGGTTATTAGGAAGTATGATTATTTTCTGTGCCAGAATTGTCGCGACGAAGATGGGTCTTTGTCTTGTCGCAAATCGCGATTGGTAGTTACATTCGTGCCTTAGTCAGATCCGCCGATCCGCCGATCTCCTCCGATGTCAGTGGACTACGGAGTGTTACGAGATACATACTGGGGAAGCTGGATATAGATAAATGTAAATGCAATGAAGTCATCATTCTATGTCCTTTATTACATACAATAATCACAATGCAGATCGCCACCCAAAAAGAGAAAATGGATATTCAGTTTCAGTCTAACCAAGCACCAACTGCCCAGGGAATATGTCACAGGGAATTCAATCGAGGGTGACCATCAAACAAGTACCACCCAATCCTAAGTCTATTGCGCCGCGAGAACTCCGGCCTCTCTAAATATTTCCGGCCACTGGCCGACCCATTGAGGAGATAGACCCAAAAGAAAACAAATGAAAAAAAAAAAAAAAAAACAAAAGAAAGATGAAAGGAAGTACACAACGTTGGTAAAAGACTCTCCAGCTCATCACTTTCGTCATCATCATTATCGTCATCATAGTGGGCATGAGAGGGTGAAGATTAAATCCCATGAACAATCAGTACCCAGTAGGATGAGGATTGATCCAGTGATCAAAATCGCCGCCATTGGGTCCGTCGACATTAGCCTCTTGGCTGGATTCCCACGATTCCCGGTTGTCCAACAGGGTTTGCATGCCCGGCTGGTAACCGGCGATGGTGTAGGGCACTGCATTGGACGGCATGGAGGTCGTTGCAGGCAAATAGGTGGGGCCTTCCTGCCACATGGGGTGATAGGCACCGTTATGGTGGTAGACCTGAGCCGGACTGGCCGTGTCGCGCTTCAGCAGCTGGGGGTCCAATTGACCGTCGGTGAACGAACCCGGGGTCGGGATGGAGGTCTGAGGTTGAAGAAGGTCATGGTGGGTGCCACCAGGCAATCCCGCAAGGGCCGTCGACGACGAGTACTGCAATTCCTGCAGGTTGACGAGACCCGCAGGGACAGACGATGGGATATAGTGGTGTGCCGCCTCATCCATTCCGGTGAACGGTCTGCCAGGGTGGCCCGTTTGCCAGGACGAGCTCAAATAGCTTGCGGAGGGAAGGCCATGGTCCTGGTCAAAGGGAGTAAAGTCACGGCTGTCCCAACCGCCACTTTCCACACCACAGCTCATGCCGCGACCACTCTGGGCAAAAGAAGGGCTGGACATGGGGGATGGTCTCTGCTCAGGGCCCGGCTCCGAACGGACCTCATCTGGGCTCTTGTCCTTCTTGGAGGGCGAGAATTTGTAACCAGGATGAGCCTTGAGGTGGTTGCTCTTCTCGATGCTGGCCAGAAGTTCGTACTTCTCCCGGGTCTCACGCGACTCAATCTTCCAGCTCTCACCCGCCGCTTCAGAAACCTTCTGGTGTTTGGTTTCAGTGATAAGCTGCTTGGCGCGCTCTGCGTAAGCGGAACGGTAGAGCATGAAAGAGTTCATAGGACGGGCGACACTACCGTTCCGCTTGGCAACTTCTTGCATACGGGTTTTTATGGGACGGTGGACCCAGCTCTCCATGTCGCGAAGGGGAATGTGTGTCATGTGCTTGGTCGATTCGCTCAAGGGAGCAGTGACAGTGGGCTTGGAGCGTTCTTTCAACTTCTTGTTTCGACGTTGGATGCGGGGAGCTCTCGACACGCGTGGCTTCGCAGAGGACGGTTTGGGGACCGACCAGGGAGACGTTGATCCCAGACCACCTGGAACAACGCTTTCATCAGCGGTAGGAGGAGGGGTGTTGATCAGGCCGGGGTGGCCAGCAATCTGTTGAGGCGATCTCATCAGCACTGTTTGATTGTTGCGTTCTGATTGTTCTGTCAGAATTGAAGGAAGAAACTTACAGGATACTGCATGGGAAGCATTCGTGAGTAATCACTGTTGGGGACGTAAAAAGAGGGGGCTGAGGTGTATGCCTGTTATTTTTTTTTTTTTTTTTTTGCTGTGGTCAGTGAATGTCCCCAATGTGGGGGAGAAACAGTGATGCAAACTTACCAAAGGCTGGGGGTCACTGTCGTAGGCCATCTTGACCATGCCGTCAGGATGCTCGTAGGAGTGGCTCATAGCAATGGAATTGGAAGCAGAGTCGCTGTGGGGAGACTGAGGAGGAGAAGGAGGTTGACCGCGTAGAAACTTTGCCATCATCATTGCTGGATAGCAAGTAGAAGAAGCAATAAGTGTGTTGAGACGATGCTCAGAGATGAAGGATATGGAAGTGGGGAAGAGAAGAAGAAGAAGAAGAAGAAGAAGAAGAAGAGTGGAATAAAATGGAGAGACAATTGAGAGGGATCAGCTGCATTTGAGGAACAACTGCGGTTCCCCTGATTGATGGTTGGTTGGTTGATTGATCTCAAACGACGCAAATGGGAGAGCAGGTCAAACACCCAAGACGGAAACAAGTGAGACAGACACGTTGTATGGGAATAATGAATGAGTACAAAGGGGAGCAAAGGGTAGAAGAAGGGAAGATAGTAGAGAGGAAGAATGAACTATTGAAGTAGAGGACAAGATGTGAAGAGTGTCAAAGAAGGGGAGACTAAGAAGGTTATATAGAAAAAACACAAGAGATGTGTGAATGAAGGAATTGAAAAAAAGGAATGAGAAGAGGATACGGCCGTCAATTAAAGCAATTTGAATCTGATGTAGTGACGGTTGGAGGAAGGATAAGGTCGATGGAGCCCCGACAGAATATGACACCCGTTCCAAGTGGCTCCAGGTTCCATAATTTGATAAAATAAAATCAAAAATTCCTGACGGACTGAACTGAACCTGACTCAATTGGGATATACACATGCAATCTTTGTTCCACTCTGTCGGGACCCTTTGGCTTTGAACCATTTTCCCAACTTTCTTTTTTGAATCTCCTTCCCCTCCTGGATCCATGAATATACCATGTTCTCCTTTGTGCCAGTTTTGGATGTGACACTGAGAGAATAACAAAAATAATAATGAATTTAAAATAATATTTCTACAGATACTCAATCCGGTAATTTCTCAGGTATGTAGGTCGAGAGAAAGGTGATGGACCCCGAACGAACTACAGGCACCTACCCATGGTTGAGAACGAGAGAGGACTGAGCAGGGAGTTGCTGTGTGTATTTTTACTTGTAATATCTAGTAACGGACTTTTTATGTTTTATTTTTTACTTGGATCGACATGAGGGTTTTTTATATATATGTATTTGTTTTTTTTTTTTTTTTTTTTTTTGCAAATAAAATAATTTCACCTGCCAACGACACGGGCGATAACAGAAATATTGGTTTCCATCGGAATGTATAGACCTATCAAAAATGGCAGATGTTATCATTCTTTACCCTAGAACTGCCTATTACTGCCCAAGTACTTCTGCTAGTGGTTCCCATGGTCCTTGGAACAAGGGCGAGTTTTTGATTTCTCTCTCTCACGAACACCAATTTGCTTGATACCCCGGTCAAGATCCTTGAATCACATCCCCATCTTCCTGGCCATTAGTTTGGCGTGTTATTCATTATCCACATGGCGCCGTCAGCTGAATCAGGGGAGAATCTCGATATAGTAGGCGCA